GAAGCTTCTTCCAGATCTCCCATGTGGGTGCAGGGGTCCAAGGACTTGACCCATCTTCCACTTTTTTCCCAGGTCATTAGCAGGAGACTGGATGGGAAGTGAAGCAGCTGGGACTCCAACCAGCACCCATATTGATGCCAGAACTGCAAGTGATGGCCTTACCTGCCATATCACAACGCTGGCCCTGCCAAGTGATTTTTTTCTTTAATTTATTTTATTGATTTGAAAGACAGAGTTACAGAGAGAGAGAGAGAGAGAGAGAGAGAGAGAGAGGTCTTCCATCCACTGGTTCACTCCCCAATTCGCCCCAAAGGCCAGAGCTGCGCCGATCTGAAGCCAGGAGCTTCTTCTGGGTCTCTCATGTGGGTGCAGGGGCCCAAGGATTTAGGCCATCTTTTATTGCTTTCCCAGGCCATAGCAGAGAGCTGGATTAGAAGAGGAGCAGCCGGGACTAGAAGCGGCGCCCATATGGGATGCCGGTGCTTAAGACCAGGGCTTTAACCCGCTGCGCCACAGCGCTAGCCCCACCAAGTGATTTTTAACAACCAATATTTTTGTATAGGTGGAAAGGATAGTTATTTAAACATTCAGTGCAGGAAGAGCTGGTTAGCCATATGTAAAACAGCCCTGGTCTGTATTCCTATACTCAAATTAACTGTAATTGCTAGAAGATGCTAAAAATGTAAAACTTCTAGGAGAAAATCCTAGAGCACAAAAAGCAAGAACCATGGAAGAACAAGTTGATAAGTTGGACTTCATCAAATTAAAAAGCTTCTCCTTGAAATACATCATTAATGAAGAGGCGAGTCTGGGGCATGGAGAAAATTTTGCAATAAAGATTTCTGAGGAGGGATCTGAATCTAGAACACATAAAGGACTCCAAAACTAAACCGCAGTCAAGTGGGGCCGGAGTGGGGGCACAGCGAGTTACAGCACCACCCGCAATGCCAGCAGGACATTTCTGAGTGCCGGTTTCAGTCCTGGCTGCTCCACTTCTGATCCAGCTCCCTGCTAATGCACTTAGGAAGGCAGCTGAAGATGGCCCAAGTGCTTGAGCCTCTGCCACCCTTGTGGGAGACCTGGATGGGGTTCGAGGCTCCTGGCTTTGGCCTGGCTAGCTCCAGCCGTTGTGGCCATTTGGGGAGTGAATCAGCAAATGGAAGGTCAATCTCTTTCTCTATGTCTCTCTCCCCTGTCACTCTGCCTTTCAAATAAAAAAATGAATCTTTTTAAAAGAAAGTTCTGTATAAAAATAATTATTTTAAAAATACATACATTATAATAAAAATGGTCAAAAGATTTGACACTTTTCCAAAGGCAGATATATGAAAGAGCCATGCCTTTTTCAATCCTACGAAGAAGTACGTGGTCCTACCCACGTACACACTCTCCTTTCCTTGGTCACTAAACCTTCACTTGGCCTTCATGCACAATTTCAATGCCCTTCTTAAGCCATTATGTACCCCCGCGAGGTTCTTCTGCTCCTCTGGGTTGCATATGACTTTGTAGGAGCCTTGATTGTAGAACCTGACTCAGGGCCACTGCCTGCAGTGTCAGCATGCCATATAGGCGCCAGTTGGAGTCCCAGCTGCTCCACTTCCGATCCAGCTCTCTGCTATGGCCTGGGAAAGCAGTTGAAGACAGCCCAAGTCTTAGGGCCCCTGCACCCACATGGGAGACCTGGAAGAAGCTCCTGGCTCCTGGCTTCAGATCAGCTCAGCTCCAGCCATTGCAGCCATCTGGGGAGTGAACCAGCGGATGGAAGACCTCTCTCTCTCTCTCTCTCTCTCTCTCTCTGCCTCTGCCTCTCTGTAGCTCTTTCAAATAAAATAAATAAATTTTTAAAAACTATAAGAACCTGTCTCATGATGATCCCTTTCTGAATGTCTTCTCCACCTGAACACCAACTCCTTACAAGAAAATACTATGTCTTCCTCATCTTGTTATCTCCACCTCCTAGCACGAGGCCTGCATGGAACAGGTGCTAAATAAATGTTCATAAATAGAGGGCGGAAAGACATTTCTCCCTTATTTCCTGGAATGTAAATTACATCCTGGTCCTGTAATTGCTCTTAAATGAGGCCCACTGGGGGCTAGAGAATCCTAGCTCCAAGAACTCACAGCAGTTTTAGAACTCGGGGGAGTTGGGCTGTTTCCCCGCTGTGTTCTGCAAACCCCAGGAGGTTTCTCAGCAGCCACCTGCAGAGGCGGAGCCTCGGCAATCTCATTTTGGAGATTACACAGCAGCAGTGCACAGTTTCTCATGGTCAGGTTCTCTGAAAATTACATTTCAAAGTCCGGTTTTGTTAGAAATGTAGATCTTGCCAAGTTATTGCTTTCCTATATGATACCAGAGTGGGTGCCTGGCGTATGTGACCAATGATGCTGAGGTTCTTTCTCAATCCAAGCACAATTAACTAGGTACATCCCAGCTCCATTCCCTGGCCCCAAACTGATCCGGGTGTCATAAGTAGTGCAGAAGCCAAACGACCTTCCTCCATGACCTGCAGAAGTCCCAGACTCCTCGGGGTTGCCACCGAGAAGCATGGTGGCTGGCTCTGTGCTCCTACACAGCTCCCTCAGTGACTACTCCAACTCCCTTTAAGCACTTCACAGGTCTGTCTCTGTCCCACCTCACTGATTCCAGGATAATTGCATTGAGCTAAAATTCTGCACTAGAGGTAAGAAAAAACTCTGAGTTGAGAAAAAGAATTCACAGGTCTGGCCTTGTGGCACAGTGGGTAAAGCCACTGCTGGCAATGCCAGCATCCCACATCAAAGTGCCAGTCCAGGTTCCTGGCTAACCTGCTTCCCATCCAGTTCCCTGCTACTGCACCTGAGAAGGCAGCAGAAGATGGCCCAGGTACTTGGGTCCCTGCCACTCATGTGGGAGACCCAGATGGAGTTCTTGGCTCCCAGTTGCAGCCTGGCTCAGCCATTTAAGAAATGAACTGGTGGATGGTAAGTAGATCTCTTTCTCTCTCTACCTCTCCTTCTGATATTCTGCCTTTCAAATAAATGAACAACTAAATAAATATCTTTTTAAAAAAGAATTTGCTTTCATCCCATGAAATAATATGTCTATGTTAAATTATTCTTTATACTAGCTTTTACAGTTGATCACTTCTAATGCTTTCAGATATATTTTCACCTTCTGTGTGTGTGTGTGTAGCAAAAATGCAATCATAGTGTTACAGTCTGCTTTTTTCTCTTTAAACCATATGTTAAACATACTCCAATGTTATTAAAAATTCTTCCATAACTATGGCTTATATTCAGATAAACTTCTTTCAAAATCGCCTATCACTGAACAGAAAAGTTTGGAGCCAATGTAACAAACTCAACAATGAACATTCTTCTCCCCATAGCCTTAAGAATCACTCTGGGGCCGGCTCTGTGGTGTAGCAGATAAAGCCTCTGCCTTCAGTGCTGGCATCCCATATGGGCACTGGTTCCAGTCCTGGCTGCTCCTCTTCTGATCCAGCTCTCTGCTATGGCTTGGAAAACCAGTAGAAGATGGCCCAACTCTTTGGGTCACTGCACCCATGTGGGAGACCCCGAAGAAGCTCCTGGCTCTTGGCTTTGGATAGGCCAAGCTCCTGTCATTGCGGCCAATTGGGGAGTGAACCAGCGGATGGAAGACCTCTCTCTCTGCCTCTGCCTCTCTGTTACTCTGCCTTTCAAATGAATAATAAATAAATAAATAAATAAAAGAATCATCTTTATCATAGGTCCTTTCAGGCAAAATTATGAGTCAAAGGAAATGTCAAAAACCTGAAGTAACTCTTCAAAGCTGATTCTCTGAGGTATAGTCTCTTCTCCTGGGCTTTCTGAGAGTGTTCCATTAGCACATGCAATTCTTGGACTTGTCTCTGGGTGAGTTCGTGATTAATGAAATGATTTTGTTGTTAAACTCATGGTTGCCACGCAAACATGGCTGTGCTATAAATGAATCACCTGGCACAGAGCTTCTCTCCTGCCAGGAGCCTCCAGCAGGCTGGCACTTCCTGTGTGTGTCTCACTCTAACTTAGCCACCATCGCTCACGTCTTGTTCTTCCTGTTCTCCGCCTCCTATTGGATGTGCACGCTTTGAGTCATGCTGCCCCCAAAATCCCACTGGACCACAGCCTGTCTTTTTAGGCCAGGGGCGTTTTCCACTGGCAAGTCTTTGGTTGGTTTCTCTTTGCCAGAGTGTGTAAAACCTTGTCATTTGGTCACCTTGGCCAATTTCAACAAGGTGTTTGTAGCTTGTAGATCATTCCTAAAGATTAAATGGGCAACACCTAAGCTGACCTCCCCGGCCTCACCCCATGCTCCACCCTGCATCAGTTTCACCCCTGTTTCCTGACGCTTCTGTGCTTTCTAATTATCACCCACACAAGCACGAATCAACCGAAGAAGCTGGACTCTGCAGTCCAGGCTCCCTCACTGTGCTTAAGTGGGCACCACGCCTAGGAACTTGAGGATTTCCTCCAGACTCTCCAGGGAGCCCCAGGCTGGAAATCTTCCCTGGCCCGTTCCGTGCGCATACTCCACTTCTCTGGCTCACTCCGCACCCCAGCAGGGGTTGCCTCAATAGACGCCACAGCCGCTGGCATCCAGTGGAGTTCAGCCAACAGGGAGCACTGTTGGAGCTGCGAGGGAGATCCGTCTGAGGTCAAGGTCTCCATCATCAGCTTCCCCCCTCAGGATTGTTGCGGGATAGCTGAGTGCTTCCAGCAAAGGCCACTGCCTCTTTACACAGCCATGACGCCAGGGTGCCCTCCACGCAGCCTCTTCCTGTCCTTGTAGCCCTAAGGGTGCTAATAGTCCTGTTTTACTACCCTCAGGGGCCTGTCCCATCTCCTATGGCCTCCCTACTCCTTGCCCATCCTTATCAGTAATCTCTTCAGAAACTCTCCACAGTTTGCCCAGGATACAAGTGCTATCTGTCCTTACCTGGGATCCTGCTGGACATTCTAAAGAGTAGGCCCAGCCCTAGGACAAGGCTACCATGGCCCTGGCCCTGGCCCATCACCTGTGCCAGCAATAAGGCCAAATGCCTCCTGCACTGGGGCCTCCATCCTTCTCTCAGATCTGCCAACACTGGGCTCTTCGGGAGTTCCCACGTTGTGGAATGTTGAACTCTGAAGCTCTCTTGATAAGAGCTAGTTCAGGCGCCCCAGCACTTTCCACTTGCTCATCTCCCAGATACTACGGCCACCTCCTTGTGCCAGACACTGAGCAGAAGCAGCAGCGGAGCAAAGTGCGGCTCTGCGAGAACAGATGGGAACGTGAAACCAGTAACCACAACGCTCTGAAGAAGTGACTTCCCCAGGAAGAGGGCCTTTGGGTGTGTCTTTCCAACCCAGCGAAGGTGCCTGTCCCTTCTGGGGGTATCAAAACCACTCTCCAGGACACCCCAAAAGCACTTCCCTCCTGCGCCTACAAGAAAACAGGGAGGCCATGCAGCCTGCCATGAGGAGCATTCGCGATGGGAGAGCCTGTTTTCCTGCAGCCAAAGGTTCGCCTCAAGCACCCACACGCCCATCAGTCTGGGCACGGCCAAAGCAATGCCGTAACCTGCGTGCCCTCGGCCTCTGCCCCTCCTGAGCTCACACCTGACCTGCCCCACCTGTTAGGCAAGGTGTGTATGTCCCAAGAGACCCACAGTCTCCCCCGGGACTTCTCTGCCTCTTCCTGTATGGTCTCACTCCCAGCCCATTCCTTCCAGAGACGAAATCTTGGACTTGACCACCGCCACCATTAGACCTATGCAGGTGGAGCTCCTTCCAGGGCTTTGCCTCCCGTGGTTCGGGTGAGTCGGATCGAGCCCATCCTGCTTGCTTTTTGGACCCTCGGAAGGAGCCTTCCCTTGGCTCTGCTCCTTCAAGTCCAACTGCAGCCTGCATTCAGGACTCCTCCTTCCTCTCCACCCACTCCCCAGACTCGAGCTCTCTTCCTAGGCAATTCTTTCCTGACTTCCCTTCTTCAGAAGCCTGAAAGAGCGAGTCTTCTTCCTCTTCTTTCTGCTCTGCTCTGCTCTCCTCTGTGCCTTCTCTCATTTCCCTCACAACAGTTGTTTTTGCCTCTCTTCCTAAGAAGAGCTAAAAGAATGCCTTGCTTTGAAAAATAGTTATTTTCAGGGCTGGCGCTGTGGTGTGGCAGGTGAAGCTGCCGCCTGTAATGCCAGCATCCCATGTGGGTTCGAGTCCCAGCTGCTCCACTTCGAATTCTGCTCTCTGCTATGGCCTGGGAAAGCAATAGAAGATGGCCCAAGTGCTTGGGCCCCTGCACCCATGTGGGAGACCCAGAGGAAGTTTCTAGCTCCTGACTTCAAATGGGCACAACTCTGGTTGTTGCGGTCATCTGGGGAGTGAACCGACAGATAGAAGAGCCCTCTCCTTCTCTCTGCCTCTGCCTCTCTGTAGCTCTTCCTTTCAAATAAATAAATAAATCTTTTTTAAAAAGTTATTTTCCTGGGGATTTGTATAGGTTTCTACCATTTGAAATTTAGTCCATGTGTTTAATAATAATAATAGCTTCCCAGGACAGTTTTTTTTTTTTCCCACTGAACAATGTAAGAGACTTTTGCATGTATTAGCTAATTTAATGCTAACAAGAGCCCTTGAAAGAAGTACTCAGTTGGCCCAGTTCACAGGAGAGGAAATTGAGGCTGAGCAGAGTGCAATGACTTGCCCAAGGCAGAGTGGGGACTCTAAGGTAGGCCTGTGTGGTTCCAAATTCCAATGTTTTTGCCTTCACCACTAGTTGAAGGAATCCTGTTCTAATTCCTCTCAAGGGGAACAGGTGCAGGCGGCAGAAGTGGCCCTTCCCCCAGCTGCCCACTTTGTAAGTTTAGACTTTATAATGGGCTCCCTCAGTAGGGCACACCCATCCCTCCTTCACTGAGTGGTGGAAGCCTAGCCCGGCAAAACCTATTTGCCCTCCATCCCCTGCTGCTCCCGTGCTGGGTGTGGCAGTGGGTGGGGAGCTGCCTAAACCAGATCTTTATATCTGCTCACCCACAAGGGCCCCCGAGGCTGACTCTGGCTACAGAGACACACTCCTGACAGCCCCAGCACCAAGGACCGCAGCCAGTGCTCAGTTTCCACAAGCATGGCCACTTCCCACATGGTCTGCGCTTCTAAGAGGAGGGACTTCTGCCATGAAAACTAGATACAGATAGAGAAAGCCTATATACCAACTGAAATCAAGCCATTCACTCAACAAACATATATAGATCCTCAATAATGTACAGGGCAAGATGCAAGATCAGGGCCCTTTCTCCAAGGAATCCATACAGAAGGAATGAGACATTCTAAGGATCCTTGTGATAGACTGTGTTATCATTGAGCAAATATTCCACTCTCTGCTCCAATCACCCTCCTCCTCGACCCATGGCTTTAGGGTTTGACTGTAAACTACTTTGGCCCACACAACGTAAGAAGTAACAGCATCCCAATTCCAAAAGAAGCCTTGAAGAGGCATTGCAAATCTCTGCCAGTTCTCTTGAACCTCCCCCCACATGAGAACATCTTGCCGACAGGGTGTCCCTTCAGCCTAGGTCTCAGAAGGAGCAGACAGACAGAGGCAGCCCTGAGCCACAGCACCTAACCCACAAACACTGCCAAGCATATTAACAGAAAATACGTATCTGTCATTGGGACTTTGAGGTTGCTTGTTACATAGCATTATCCCAGCAAAAACTGATGAATCCAGTTCCAAACAGAGCTGTATTGTGAACCTTCCCTGTGATGTTTTTCTTATCCTTTGAATTGAATTCTTGTTCCTGATGGTGACCAGTTTCACTGACTGCCCCCCAAGTTACCCCCAGCTGGGCAGCGGCAGCTGTAAGAACAAAGCTTCAGGTCAGAAAAGTCACCTGCAGGCACCCCAGACCCATTACAGTCTTTCTTCAAAAATATTCTTTTTTTTTTTTTTTTGACAGGCAGAGTGGACAGTGTGTGTGTGTGTGTGTGTGTGAGAGAGAGAGAGAGAGAGAGAGAGAGAAAGGTCTTCCTTTACCATTGGTTCACCCTCCAGTGGCTGCTGCGGCCAGCGCACCGCACTGATCTGAAGCCAGGAGCCAGGTGCTTCTCCTGGTCTCCCATGCGGGTGGAAGGTCCAAGGACTTGGGCCATCCTCCACTGCACTCCCGGGCCACAGCAGAGAGCTGGCCTGGAAGAGGGGCAACCAGGACAGAACCGGCGCCCTGATTGGGACTAGAACCTGGTGTGCCGGCGCCGCAGGCGGAGGATTAGCCTATTGAGCCACGGCGCCAGCCTCAAAAATATTCTTAATCACTGCTACCCATATTTCATTTCCTATCGTGCATTAGCAATTTCTTTTGAATATTTATTTATTTAAAAGTCAGCTACAGAGAAGGAGAGGCAAAGGCAGAGAGACGGACTGATCTTCTATCTGCTGCTTCGCTCCCCAAATGGCCACAACTGTGAGGGTTGAGCCAGGCTGAAGCCAGGAGCCAGAGTTTCTTCTGGGTCTCCCACATGGGTGCAGGGGCCCAAGGACTTGGGCCATCTTCTGCTGCTTTCCCAGGAGCATTAGCAGAGAGCTGGATTGGAGTGGAGTGGCTGGGACTCGAACTGGCACCCATACGGGATGCTGGAAGTGCAGGTGGCAGCTTTACCCACTACGCCACAGTGCCGGCCCCTGTGCATTGTCAATTTCTCAAGTTCATGTTAGCCATATCAAAAACAAGCACTTGATGAAACACTCTGAAGGCTCTCAGTGAGTAGCATGTTTCTAACCCAAGACCATGACAAGTCAAGAAGACTTAGGAAACCTAGAACTATGGCTTTGTATTACTCTCCAGTCACTATCTGCAGCACTGTGGGTACTGATCATGTTTTTAAAAATTAATTAATTCATTTGAGAGGCAAAGAGGGAGAGCTCCTATTAACTGGTTCACTCCCCAAATGCCTACAACAGCCTGGATTGGGCCAGGCCAAAGCCAGGAGTCAGACACTCAATCCAGGTCTCCCACATGGATGGCAAGAACCTAATCCCGTGAGTTATCACCATGGTACCTCAGGGTCTGCATTCCCAGGCGTTCTTCTATGGGACATGGGTGTTTTCATTACAAGGCCAGATGCTCACCCCATTGTGTATTTTTAATTTCCTCAGTTCAACAAATACTTCCTGAGCATATCCTCTGGGTAAGGCACCTGCACTATAAAGGACAGCAAGGCCTGGTTGCTACCATCAGCCCACAAGGCTTCCAACAGCCTCACCCTACATTTCATGGAGAGGAGGAGGTGAGTCCTTGCATAACCACAGCGAAAGACATTCAATGTGAGGCATTGTGAGGTGCCAAGAACTGGCTGTGGCTGGGAAAAAAGGAGGACCACATCCACTTAGAGGGGCTAGAGAAAGAGAGTAATCTTAAAGAAAAGGACAAGGCACAGGGAGGGACTAAACCGAAGAGGAACTGTGGAGTAGTATCTTGGAGGGAGAGAAAGGGACGCCTGTGCTCAGCTCTCAGTGCCAGGCTGCCAGTGTTTTACCCAACCCTAAAAGAACAGAATCCTCCATGACATCTGTCCCATCCCTCTTGGAAAGCCCCTCTGCTGGACTCACAATCTGACGCAGTCTGAGAATGTAAAGCCACGAATAGAGCTAAGTTCCAGAAAACGAAGTCGAGGTAAAAGACGCAAATGAGAAGCGTGTATGACAGTAAGACAGCTTCCGCACCTATACCCACAAGCACCCTGACTCTCTGAGAAAAAGAGGAAAAGAACTCTTCAGTCATTGATGCCATGGCAGAACAACCTCACCAGTCCTGGCTGTGTAAAGTGTATTCAGTAGGGCAAAGGCTAAGCTTGAACTTGCTGCTGATGTCAACCGTGGGGTCTTGCTTTTCCAGGAAGTAGCATCCCTGTATGCTGCTTATGGTAGGGTGGGGCCCTGCATGCCACACCCTACCCCACCCCCACAGCTCTTCCCCAGGCTGCACCTGCTCTCTGGCCTCACCTGCCCCACCTAGTTACACCCATGATTCCAACTGTGGCCAGAAAACACATCACCATCAGGCAATTACAAAACAAAACAAAGAAATTCAAGTCTACCAGGTTCTGGCTTTAGTGCCTTCTGTGTGGGTCAAGTTTTTTGTTCCTCAAGCCCTAACAAAATCATCTGTTCACAGGTCGGATGTCACATGGGGCCATGTGCTGTACTGTGTCTTTCTGTGTCTGTGCCCCAGTGCCTAGTCCACTGGTGGCATACGTAGCTGCAGGGTTCCCATGTATTGAAATGCTTTCTCTTCATCCACACTTGACACAGCATCTCAGTTCATTGTTTCAACAGCCTCACCCTACAGGCTCAGCATAATTAGCTTCCCTTTACAAATGAGACTCACAACACAGAAAGGTCAAGTATTGGCTCCAAGATCACACAGCCAAGAAGTGGCAGAGCCCAGATCTCTCTGATCATAAGGCCCTTCTTATAGCACAAGATGGACGTGGGAGCCAGAGTTTTGGATTAGGAAAGACTTCTAGTACCTTCACCAGATTGTTTAGAGAAAAAGGTTATTTCCAAGGCTGATGCTTGGGAAATCCAGCTGGTGTATGGCAGGGACATATGGGACTTAGATTTCTTGTCTTACACACAGTTCTGTTTGAAGTGGAATGTAAATCTCTAGGCCTAGGTTACTGGCAATCTGCGGGGGTTTGTCTAATTCTTTCACCAAGGTCACACATCCAGGCCCAGTGAGAGCTGCCCTGGAAGTCAAGGGTAGGAACTGGAGAAGTGGTATAGACTTGCAGTGACCTCACCACGTGCAGGAGCACAGCTCACAGCAGCGCTGGCAGAAAGGACAGGGGCCAGCTCTGGGCTCAGACTCGGAGGGCTGGCCAGAAGTTTATGTGCATTCGAGAGCAAGAATGTTAATGTTGGTCTCTGAACGTTTATGTGGAGACCCAAAGAGTCACCTGTCTCAAGGAAATCCTGAAAGAAAAATGGACCTCAATCCCTGCCAGACGATGGCCACCATGGCTGCTTCTGGACCACACCCCCAGTCCACCATGCAGACACATCACGAGGCATGTCTGCAATAGCTTGGTTTATTGGCACGCTGACCCCAGGTCAGGAGCCAGAGATAAAGAGTATGACTCCAGGCTCTCACCTTGAGCTTGGGTAAGAACGGGCAGGGATCCGCCCTGCTGACACCAGTCTGGCCCATCTGGTTCATCAGGCTGAAATTATTTTTGTTTGTGGCCGCACCCAGTGCTCCACCCAAAGAAACAGCAGGCAGCAGCAGCAGCGTCGATTTGAAACCTGCCCAAAAGCACGGACTCAGAGCACAGGTGTCCACAGCCAGCCCTAAGAGCGCAAAACTATAGAAATCAGGTGGTCCCTGGGCAGACGTGATGGCCACCACCTAAATGCATTTCCTGCTCTACCCCCGTGAAGGCTAGTTGAGGAGCTAGCAGATGATTTAGGAATTAGACTGTTTATAAAGATAAGCACACAGCACTTTCTGGATCAGCCACAATAAATTAAGAAAACGTAGTTGAAATGCAACATTCTGAAGGCTTAAAATATATATCAGGCACTAGGTTAATAGCTGTGACTTTTTTGAAGAATTCAGACTTTAAATAAATTAGCCTTGTTAAATTAAAGGCTAGTGTTTTCTCAGACAAGCCTGATGGTTATTCAGGGTAAGCGCTCAGGTAATTAGGGAGGAAAGAGCAAGATGCCTATTAGCACAGGATTCTAGGTCCTCCTCTCTCTTCTAGTTCCCCCTTCCCGACAAGCAAATGATACCGGTTTTTTTTTAAGAACCCAAGATACATGTTACAACAATTAATTGAGCGAACACATCAGAAAGAAATTTGTGCTTGTGAGTTTTGCTGAGCCAAACTGTTTTCAATTAACATCATTTGTCTACTACACTGATTTGGAGATGGCTTGGAATACTTATCGTCTCCCTTAGGAATTGCTTCTTGGGTTTATTTCATTGGCAATCATGAATCCCAAATGGATTGAGTAGTACCATCCGTCAGCAAGAAAAACGGGGACCAGCAGAGTGACTCTGCTCTGGGAAACGTGTTCCCAATCTTGGAGTAACCACGCACAAAGGACACAGTTGTAGGGTATCCTAAGCTCTTCCTGGAAGGCATGCAGGTCACTTCAGAGGTGGAGGCAGATTATCTAGGCCTAGAACTGATGCTCAACTTGGATGCTACGATATGGCTGGAGCTGCTGCCCACGGCTGCACGGTGCCCAGCCTACACGACATCTACCCTATAGATCTGGGTACGACTTGGACTGTCACATCTGGCTTCTTTCTGATCTGCTGATGCTCTTGCTACTTGAAAACATTGTGAATATCAGCCTGCCAAGATCTATCCAAGACCCAGCTAGTTACTGAGGCTTGCTCACTCCCTGAGGTGTTCATTTTGCTCATTTCCCCTTGACCATTTGAGTCTCACTGAAAGAACCTCCTGGCTTGGCTGGGGAGAGGAAATCTGTACCACTGGCATTCCATTTGCATGCAGTCACTTCATCCTCCTGTTCAGGTCTTGGTGCCCCATCTACCTAGTGTCCCCAACCAAACGTCTTCTGACCTCCAAACTCTTTTCAGTTCTATGAGAAAAAGACCCTCAAAGGCATGGGCGGGGGAAGGTGATCAAGAGATCCAGTGGTTTCTCAAATGGTTTTCACGTTACTACTCCTCGTGGAAGCTCCTCCTTCACACACGACTCCAGAAGCTCTTCTGCCTCTGGTGCCAGTGACTTGGCTGCTTTCCTCACTGCCAGTTGCTTCTGTGGCTTTTTCCAACCTGCTGAGTCCCCATGTATCCATTTCTTGTCCAGCTTCCCAAATTACGTTCCTCCTGTCTCCTCTCCTGTTCTCCCTGTCCTTGTGGATTTATGCTTCAAAAACGTCTTGCTATACTGTTAGTTGTGTTTGGGAAGAAAGCTAATTTCAGTAAGGATGCCGCATCCATCATCTTAATATGAAGTCGGATTATTATTATATCCAGTTTTTAGGTTTATACATGCAAGATTTCTTACTAAGATACCTCATAATTGGTTCCCTGAAATATTCTTTTAAGTATTTTAAAAAATTATTGTTGTTAAGGTTGTTGTGTTAAAGCCCATGAGAATCCAACTAACTTGAAGTATGAATTCGAGGTTCTAAGCCAGTAACAAGAACCGTCTTTGGAAGTTCATGAGAACATGGGCCCTTCTTTGTGGCATTCAGAATACACTGCTGGCCTCTCGATTTGAGGGTGTGGGTCATGTAATGATTACAGCCAGGAGTAAGGATGATTATATGTCTGGCCAAGATCAAACATGGAACAGTTATTCATTCTGATACTGCTGGAAATTGGGGAAGGTTGTTAGGATTTCACACACACCCAGATACATCAATAACATGAGTTATTGATCTAATGCAAGAAATTCTGACTGATATTATCTCACTTTCTTTAGAAAATACAGAAGTGCTGAACCATTTGCTGTAGGAAATGGAAGATCTGACCCACAGTTTTGCCCCATCCCATGTCCCTTCGTCTTTTCACTTATTTATTAGACCCCAACAGCTTCCCCAGGAGTCGGCAGCCTGTAAAGCCCATTCAGGGTGTTCCCTGGTAGACCTCATGGAGGAATGGGTACCTACTATGTGCTAGGCACAGTGTGAGATAAAGTAAATAAAATAAATAATCTGTTTACACAGTCTATTCAGGTGGGTGGTAAAACTAACACAATAGACACAGGTAGAGGTGGTAGGTGTGGAGGACGGAGCAGAACCTGAGGGGCCAGGGAGTGCCAGCAAAGGACACTGCGGATAGAGTGTCCAGAGAGGACCTCTCTGGTGAGGCAACTTTGAACGAGAAAAAGCACTCCAGGAAGAAGTCAGACTGGGAGCAGAGGCACAGCCAACATGTTTAACAAACAGCAAGGCGGTCCATGTGGAGGGCAGAAATAACAGATGAGATCAAGGAAGCGGTGAGGCAAATCAGGGGAGATTTGGAAGACACGAGAGAAAGCTTTGGATTTTACTGAGTGATTTAGGAAGTGACTAGAAGGCGCTGGTCAGAAATGATCTGATTTGATGCACATTTGCAAGCCATTCTGTGGCTATGGAGAAGAGACCATGGGAAGCAAGACAAGGACAGAAGCAGCAAAGCCGTGTTCTACTGAAATAGATTCTACTGCAGTAGTCCAAGCAAAAGATTATATGGGAGAGCAGCGGCACAGGTGCTGAGAGCTGAATAGTTGGATTTAGAAAATATTCTAAAGGTATAGCTGAT